AAAAAAAAAAAAAAACCGAGCTCTCTTGAGTGTGCATGAGTGGAGATGGAGGCTAGTATAGTGACTGGCCTTCGCACGCCAGGCTTGCCTTCTATGACTGTGTGTGGAACAGAGAACTCAGGAGAGAGGATGCCAGGAGAGAGGATACCAGGAGAGTATCTCAGTCGTTTTCTTTTTCCCTTTTTTTTTTTTTTTTTTTTTTTGGAGTCAGGATCTCGCTCTGTTGCCCAGGCTTCAGTGCAGTGGTACAATCCCGGTTTACCACAGCTCAACCTCTTTAGGTCAAGTGATCCTCCCACGTCAGTCTCCTAAGTAACTGGGAATACAGGTATGTGTCACCACACCTGGCTAATTTTTTTAAAAAATTGTGTAGAGACGAGGTCTCACTACGTTGCCCAGGCTGGCGAACTCCTGGGCTTAAGTGATTTTCCTGCTTCAGCCTCCCAGAGTGCTAGGATTACAGGCGTGAGCTACCAAGCCTGACCTCTTTCACTTTTTTTAGTGACCCCTGGATTCCTTATTATCTGTGGTACGATGACATACAATCCCAGTTGATGACAGAGTTCACTACATGCTTTGAGTCTTGAATAGGTTGTTTTTGGATACCAAGTGCCCTTTTTTCACGAGGAAGCCTTGGACTCTGAATTCTAGAGGCAAGCAGTATTTTTTTTAACTTTTTATTTCCACATATGTTTTTATTCAGAAAGGAATGGGCAGTGAGGAATCTTTTTCTTTCTCTTCTTTTAGCCCTTAATCCCCTGACTCATAAATGCTATCAAGTTTCTTATATATCTTTCAGAGATTCTAAGCATTCTTTTTATCTTAAAACTTTTTAAAAAACTGATATATAATAGTTGTACATATTTTGGGGGTATATCCATCACCTCAAGCCTTTATCTTCTCTCCAAGTATTATTTCTGATGACGACATACCTCCGAATGTTCCACTGGCAAAATTGAAGGTCATCACTCAGAAGAAAGAAATCAAGAAGAAGGTGAGGTATGGTTTTGAAATGTCATTTTCCTCATGTAGTAAAGATTATTTCTTCAGGAGTTCAGACCATTCTAGGCAACATAGCGAGACCTTGCCTGTACGAAAAATGAAAAAAAATAGGCAGGCAACTTGGCACCCCTCACTCTAGAACACTTGTCTTCTGCTTGTCCAGAATTTTTTATGATTTGCTGATTTGTTAGAATGAGACTGTGCTGTACAAGTTGGCAGGGGCTGGAATGTATGTGTTGCCTCTGAGCGTTGAGCCGTGCCCAGGAGCCAGGTGAGGAGAAAGTGGATAAAGGTGGTGGTAGTTACTTCCATAATTCTTGATCTGGAACTGTTCTCTTTCAGGCTTTTCCAGGGACTTGCAGCATATGGCTAGTGAGGGCGGGAGGTACACGGACAGACCCACATTTTATCCTTACACGCACAGAAGCAGCATAGCACACCTCAGTGTTCATCATACTCTTGCTATAGGCCTTCCTCTGCCTTGCACTTTGACTCCTATGAGAAAATTGTCCCTGCCACCAAAGTCATAGAATATAAGTGGAGAGGCAAGATACACATGCATGAACCCAAACTGGAGAGTTTGCTAGAACATTCCATTGCATTCTGTGGCTTAAAATATAGAAAGCATTAGAAATTAAAAAAAAAAAAAAAAGATTATATGACTGGAAGTCATCAGAACATATAAGATATGGCCAGAGGGAAAAGACAAGGAAACCTGAAGTCCTATCATTTTTATATGTATTAAAACGAAGAGGCTAGGAGGCTGAGGCAGGAGGATGGCTTGAGGCCAGGAGTTGGAGGTTGCGGTGAGCCATTATCATGCCACTGCATCATTGCATTGCAGCCTGGCCAACAGAGTGAGAGTTCAACTCAAAAAAAAAAAAAAAAGACAGAAGAGCTGTGTGTCAAAGACCCTCAGGTTGAACCAAGGTAGAACCCTTGGTAGACCAGCCTTCCCGTAGGGAACATTAATGTTCATCCTTTGTTGTTGTGAATTCAGGCTTCCCCGGAGCTCTCCTATCCTCCCAGATAATTGTGGGACCAGAAGCCTCCTCAGCCCACCCTGCCTCCTATTGATCTGTCCCCTGGCATTCTATGTAAACAGTCTGGCCCACAAGAGTCCCATGGTGTTTATATATTGCCTGGGGATTTCCTTCTTACATATTGCCTGGGGATTTCCTTCTACCCGGTATCCTGCTTCCTTTGGTCTCTAAGTTCTGGTGTTGGTTGCAGATGTTAGGAAACAGTTACACATGGATGTCCACAGACTGAAGTCTGTCCTCATGGTGAAGGAAGGCATCATGGGATCTGGAGCCGTGGACCCCCTCGGCCTTGGGATCTGAGCAGGGCCAAGCGTCACTGTCTGCCACAGCCTGAGTGCACTGTGCCGCCTCTTGTCTCAGCTGGGGAATCAGTGTGAAGGCAGGTGTTCTAGGAGGCTCTGCCCCACTATTTTGATCTGGTGTGTGACTTCTGAGCAGGTTGGAATGGGAAATGTGAAAATTCAGGACTGAGGTCAGGCCTTGGTTTAAGCACTTGTTTTCCAGACGGAGTGTTGAGTTTGGCCAGTGAGGGCAAAAGGGGTTGGGGTAGTGTTTGGGGCAAAAAATGCTGTTCTATAGTCAGCATTTATTTTTATTTTTTTGCCAGATACAAAGAAAACTTTCACAGTCAGTAGCATTTTCCTATATGAGCAATAATCAGTAAGAAAAAAAATGATAGGAAATGATACAACAACAGCAAAAATGATAGCATTTCTGGAAATCAACTGTTCAGAAAATGAAAAGTCTTCAATAAAGAAAAAAACTTAAGCTGTATTAAAATAACAATTGAATATTTACATAGATGAGAAAATAGTCCATGATTCTGGCTGTGACAGCATAACATTGTAAAGTTGTCAACTCTTGCCAAATCAATAATTAATTACCGATTGTCCCAAACCACCTGGGAGAAAGCAGTGACTCCATTCTAGTCATTTAACAGATCTGAAAAGTTAGATTTTTTTTTTTTAAAGCAGGATTTATTGAGAGGACAGAAAAGCTCCCAGAGCAGGAGGGGACCCAAGGGGGTTGCCCGAAAAGTTAGATTTTAACATAAATTAACGTAGTAAAATTATGAAGAAGATTCAAAATCAATTCCTAAAAAGTACAAAAATATTGGTACAAGAAATAACAATGTGAAATAAAAGCAAATCCTCCAGACACAAAAAAGGCAGCCCTCTCTTGAGTTTTTAAATGCTGAAGGTGACTATTAACTTATGAATAAAGACAGTAGTTATTGTCAGCATTTCAGAGCTCAAGAGGTGATTGTCTTCCTTGTGTCTGGAGGACTTGCCTTTCAGATGAAGAGTCTTCTGCCATCCCATCCCATGTCACCTGTCTCCAAGAATGGAGGAGTGGTTACTCTAAGCTGAGCCCTGAGAAGATGAGAGAGTGAGCCTGTTGTCAGGCAGAGAGAATGAAATTTATTAAAGGGGAGACACGAGGAGACTGGCTTCAAAGAGAAACCAGCCCCCTTTGTTCTTTGTGGGTTCTTTTTATTCCTCGAGCCGGGGCTTGGTGGTCATGTAGCACATGTAGATCTGGAGGAAATGGGGGAGGGGCTGGTGGTCACGCAGCCTTGAGGAAGCAGTTTGGGGGAGAAGGTTATATGGCCTTGAGATGCGCTCTTTGAAAAAGCAGAAAGTGACCACAAAACAGTCAGTAACAGTGCACCTTTTATCACCCAGCCTAAGGATGCAACCTTGAGAAAGCAGATGTAAGCAGTGAGTTAACAATGGTCCCCCATCTCTTCCCACATATAAGTCCTGTCAGTTGCTACAGGGTGTGTCTTATCCAGATGTGCTAGAATCTAGAATCCGTATTGGATCACACAGTGGAGACAGACCCTGGCTTTATTTGAGCATGTTGCTGGTAGTGTCTCCTTGAATTAAATTCTTCTTTCATAGTGGTGAAGACGAGACCCAATTTTATGTTTGTTTTTGTAGTAGGTTTAGAGATTTATTTTTTAACCCAGCATTTTCTGTCTCTGTCTTTCCAGGCATCTAGGACAAAATTATATTTCTTAAGCAGTTATTTAGTAGAACAGGAAGTATTCGTTTTTCCAAAATGATCAAAGGATATGCTGTATATTTATTTATTTTTATTTTAAAAAAATAGAGACAAAGTCTCGCAGTGTTGCCCAAGCTGGTCTCGAACTCCTGGGCTCAGGAGATCCTCCTGCCTTGGTAACAAAGTACTGGGATTACAGGCATAAGCCACCACATCCAGCCAAAGGATATGTTTTAATCTTTTTTTAAAAATGTTATTTTAATGAAACCGCGAGAAAACTTTTTTTTTAGTCTCTATTAGAGTTTCGACATTCTTACTAACAAAGTAAATGGGTAAGATGTCTATTCTTAAACAAAGTGGAAGCACCAGCTGAAATATGAATAAATAAAATTGTTTATCACAGTTTCAGAGCTCTCCACCTTGGTCTTTGATCTAGAAAGCTTAGAGGGACAAAATTGTGGACTTCGCTGCAATTTGGATAGATTTGGAGTCTATCATACTCAGTGTTCTATCACAGAAACAAAGAATGGAGGACCACATGTTCTCACTCACAAGTGGACCCTGAATGTCACAACACTGCAAGAAAGGAACTGGCAGTTGCGGGACACTGCGGGGGGGTGGGATGTAGGGGCCCATAACATCACTAAGGGTGCCTGATCCTGAACTGGGTGAAGGGAGGACCGATGGGAGGCCCCAAACTTCACTTGTACCTAAACCAGCTCTGTCTGCAATCCTGACTTGTACCCCACAACTCTAAAATAAAATTAAATTTTAAAAAATACATTTTTGACTTCTGGTATCCATTTGCTCATGGGTGAATGAGGTTAAGTAGATTCAGTTCAGAAATGTGTGTCTGCTCCAGGGCTCTTGTGCTCCTGCCCTTTCTCCTTGAGTGGATACTCAGATGTTGTTTGGAAGCATGTTCTGGGTGGGGGAACACTAACTCAGTCTTTGATGAACCTTGCAGATCCTGCGGTGGGTGTGCTTCTGAGCCGCCGTGGATGGCCCTGGTTCTCCTGACCACCCTTCCGGGTAGGATGTCCCTGCGATCCCTTAAATGGAGCCTCCTACTGCTGTCGCTGCTGAGCTTCCTGGTAATGTGGTACCTCAGCCTCCCCCACTACAACGTGATCGAGCGCGTGAACTGGATGTACTTCTATGAGTATGAGCCGGTTTACAGGCAGGACTTCCGCTTCACGCTTCGAGAACATTCAAACTGCTCTCACCAGAACCCATTTCTCGTCATCCTGGTGACCTCCCACCCCTCCGACGTGAAAGCCAGGCAGGCCATTAGAGTTACGTGGGGTGAAAAAAAGTCTTGGTGGGGGTATGAGGTCCTTACCTTTTTCCTACTAGGCCAACAGGCTGTGAGGGAAGACAAAATGTTAGCACTATCCTTAGAGGATGAACACCTGCTATACGGTGACATCATCCGACAAAATTTCCTAGACACATACAACAACCTGACCCTGAAAACCATTATGGCATTCCGGTGGGTGACAGAGTTTTGCCCCAATGCCAAGTACATCATGAAGACAGACACGGATGTTTTCATCAACACTGGCAATTTAGTGAAGTATCTTTTAAACTTAAACCACTCGGAGAAGTTTTTCACAGGCTATCCTCTCATCGATAACTATTCCTATAGAGGATTTTACCAGAAAACCCATATTTCCTACAAGGAGTACCCTTTCAAGGTATTCCCCCCCTACTGCAGTGGGCTGGGGTACGTGATGTCCAGGGATCTGGTGCCAAGGATCTATGAGATGATGAGTCACGTGAAGCCCATCAAGTTTGAAGATGTCTATGTCGGAATCTGCTTGAATTTATTGAAAGTGGACATCCACATTCCAGAAGACACAAACCTTTTCTTCTTGTATAGGATCCACCTGGATGTTTGTCAGCTCAGGCGTGTGATTGCCGCCCATGGCTTTTCTTCCAAGGAGATCATCACTTTCTGGCAGGTCATGCTGAGGAACACCACGTGCCATTATTGACCCCACGTTCTCCCAGCAGCCTGGGGAAGGACAAGACATGCAGTGGACGGTGCTGAGGTTTGTCCCGTGGAGAATCCAGGTACACAGACCTGAAACTCATGAAGACCCCACAGGCCAGAGGCGAGAGGGGGTACACCTGGGATTTATTTTGATGAATACTGAAGTCAGACCTTTCAGCAGTGACATTCAGAAGAATTAAATATCTTGTAAATGAATTGGAGAGAACGGCTAATGAAATTTATAGGACCAAACAATTTGAACATGTCATTCTATAGAAGTTTTTCTTTTTTTTTTTTTCTTTTTGAGTCGGAGTCTCACTCTGTTGCCCAGGCTGGAGTGCAGTGGCACAATCACAGGTCACCGTAGCCTCAAACTTCTGGGCTTAGGGGATCCTTCTCTCTCAGCAGCCCCACCCCCCACAGTAGCTGGGACTACACAGGTGTGTGCCACCATGCCCAGCTAATTTTTTTGATTTTTTTTTTTTTGTAGGGATGAGGTTATATTATGTTGCCCAGGCTGGTCTCAAGGGATCCTCCCGCCTTGGCTTCTCTAAGTGCTGGGATTCCAGACATGAGCCACTGTGACCAGCCTAGACTAGAATTTCTTAAAAGAAGGGTATCATGGAATTATAAGCTCATTAGTCCATTATGACAGAGCAGTGTGGAGTTTTATTTATTGACCAGTGTAGTTACTTAAAGGTTTCGTGTTTATCTTATGTGGATTACCAGTTTCAAAAAATATATACTTATGTGTTAAAAAAAACTTTACTGCAGTTACACTGAACAAGATTTCATCAGTTTTTGGCAACATAGAAGATACTTCAAGATGTTGCAATATTTCAGAGTTATCAATTGTTATTTAATATCGCTTTGAACTCTGGGTGTCTGAGTGTTATGACGGTTTCAATACTGTTACATAAATAGAATAGTAAGTTGCTCTTTGCCTTTGGATGTTTTTCCAGTTTCTTCACTGCTTAGTTTATTATTGACAGTCCCATTCATGTAAAGTCACAGTCATCACTGCATATTGGTCATCTCTTGGACTTTGTTAAATATTCTACTGTGGTAATATAGAGAAGAATTAAAGCAAGAAAATCTGAATTATTGTCTCATTTTTTAAAATGTAGTCCCAGTGCTTTTAGGTGTCCCATTGTTCCCCCTGGAAAGCAGGAATGACAGAGCACCAGGCAGCACGTTTCCTTCCGGGAAGGACCCTGAAGGCAGAGAGAAAGGCAAGAACCTGGAGGTCAGGATGTTAGGAAGAGTATTACGGGCCAGTGTTCAGGAGTGAGAATCCTGAAGATCCAGGTTGCGTAATTCGTCTACCCCATGTTTTTTCTCATCAACAGTCAGTTTGTGAATAAAGAGGGGGGAAAGTTGTTGCTGCTGCCATTGCCTTCTCATCAAGATGAAAGCCCTGTTGTGTGAAGTCAGATCTGACTTAAGTCTCATGTACCTTCATAGTGCATTTCCTAACAGAAGCAGTGACGTGTCTTTGCTAGAGGTGCTAAGAGCAGGCCAGAGAGGAACGTTCCTTTCCTCGTGGTCCTGGGATTACACAGTTTTCTTTTCTTTTTCTTCTTCCCTTTTTTTTTTTTTTGGAGTTAGAGCCTCACTCTGTCACCCAGGTGGGAGCTGTAGTGCAATGACACAATCACAGCTTATCGCGGCCTTGACCTCCTGGGCTCAAGCAGTCGTCTCTCTGCTTCAGCCTCCCAAGTAGCTGGGACCACAGGCACATGCCACCATGCCCAGCTAATTTTTAAAATTTTTTTGTAGAGAATGAGGTCTTGCTATGCTGCCCAGGCTGGTCGTAAACTCCTGGGCTCAAGTAATCCTCCTGCCTCAGCCTCTCAAAGTGCTGGGATTACAGGTGTGAGTGACCATGCCCGGTCTACAGTTTTCTGTTAAGAGTTGATACAGGCAAGTGATTCTTTTTTTCTGAATTCCTGGATGGCAAAAGACCAAACCCTTTGTCAGGAAATATAAACTTGAAAATATGTAATCAGCTCTTGAAATACTCAGATATTTAGAATTTTCCTGTGTGAAAAACCCAACTCCACTATGCGGTTCTCTATAGCAACTCTTTGTTTCCCTGGGTTCAGACCTGATTCAGTTACAACAAGATCAATTGAATGAAATATTCAGCTCTTGAGATACTCAGATATTTAGAATTCTCCTGTGTGAAAAACCCAACTCTACTATGCGGTTCTCTATGGCAAGTCTATATTTGTTTCCCTGGGTTCAGACCTGATTCAGTTACAAGAAGATCAGTTGAATGAAATATTCTGTGAAATCAATATATGTCCCTGCCAATCCCTATCCACACAAGAGTCACTTTCTTTAAGACAGATGGTGGCAGTTATTTTTGTGGAATGATTAGATTTTATTGGTTTTGTAGAAAAATATCAGTCACATGCTGCATAAGGACATATAGGACAGTAGTCTCTCATGGGATTATTGTGGAGCTGAAAAATTTCTGTTCCCTGGTGACAGTGTCGCTGTCCTAATGTCATACCATAACACATTACTTATATGTTTGTGGTCATGCTAGTGCAAATAAATCTGCACTGCCAGCTGTACAGCAGTGTAGCACATGTGAGCAGGGACTCAAGAAAACCTGGAATTTATTTATAAAAAAGTGTGTGTTTATTCTTACATGTTTAAACTTCAGTCACCTTCAAAGTACTCTCTGCTTGTTGGAATACACCTATCGAGATGCTTTTTCCACTGCTCAAAACAATTTTGGAACGTATTTGTTTTGATTCCTTTTCGTGCCTCTGCTGTTCTTTGTTTCACCTCTGTTTCCCTCTGAGGACTTTACATCTGGGGAAACACAAGTCTTTTGGAACAAGATCAGGAGAATGGAGGGTGGGGCACAGGGGTCATGCCCTTTATGGTCAGAAACTGCTGAACACTCAGCTCAGTGTGGGCAAGTGTGTTATCATAGTGGAAGAACCAGTCACCTGTTTGCCACAGCTTGGGACATTTCTTCCACAAATCACGACGTACAACAATACTAGCTGGTGCACTGATTCACATGGGTTCCTAGAATACTCACCAAGTGGGGAAAACCTGCACTATAAGGGACTTGCCCTCCAAAAAATAATTTCGATTTTTTTTTTTTGGTTCCCATTGTACGGTTAGGTACCATCTATATAATACTTGATAATAAATGACTGCATTACAGGTTTATGTATTTGCTATACTTTTTATTATTAGTGTACTTCTTTTATTTAAAAAAAAAAAAAAAAAAGGTTAACTGTAAAACAGCCTCAGGAAGGGCCTTCAGGAGTTGTTCCAGAAGGAGGCACTGTTATTACAGGAGACACCGCCTTCACACATGTTATTGCCATGAAGACCTTCCTGTGGGACACGATGTGGAGGTGGAAGACAGGGACATTGATCTTGACCCCGTGTAGGCCTAGGCTAATCTGTGTGTGTGTGTGTTTGTATCTTAGTTTTAACCAAAAAAGTTTAAAAAGTAAAAAAAAAAAAAAAAAAAGCTTATAGAATAAGGATATAAAGAAGAAAATATTTTTGTACAGCTGTACGAGATGTTTGTGTTTTAAGCTGTTACTACCAAACAGTCAAAGTTGATAAAGTAAAATAGTTACAGTAAGCTAAGGATAATTTATTGAAGAAATAAATTTTTAAAATAAATTTAGTGTAGCCTAAGTGTCCAGTGTTTATAAAATCTAAGGTAGGGTACAGTGATGTCTTAGGCCTTCACATTCACTCACCCAGAGCTCTTTCGGTCCTGCAAGCTCCACTCATGGTAAGTGAATGTGTACCATTTAAAAATCTTTTCTACCACATTTTTACTGTACCTTTTCTATGTTTAGATGCACAAATACCATTGTGTGACAGTCACCTGCAGTCTTCAGTGCAGTGACCTGCTGTCCAGGTTGGTGGCCTGGGAGCAAAAGTCTCCACCCTCCATCTCAGGTGTGTGGTAGCTGTAGTGTCCAGGTGTGTAAGTACTCTAGGCTGTTCACAAAATGATGAAATCGACTGGCGACACATTTCTCAGACTGTGTCTCTGTTAAGTGCCACATGGCAGTATACTGATGCTTGGGAAGCTAATTCAAAGACTTTCTTTAGAGAGAACTTTTAAAATGAAAAATAATTTCCATTCACTTTTAGAAAAGACCCCCCCAAAAAAACCAAAGGTTAAATGTGCATAATTGCCAAATATCAGAAGATTGTCCCTTTTGAACCAAAGGCTAGTGCCTGAAAGATCTCCAAAAAGTTAAATGATTATGAAAAACCCTAAGAGGCTGGGCCATTATATTTTTTGTCTTTAGCTACATGCTTCTTAAATAATCTTAAGCTTTCAGGTAGTGAATGTTAGCTGTGTTATTAAAATCATGACCAATATGATGACTCATGCCTATAATCCCAGCACTTAGGGAGACTGAGGCAGGAAGACTGCTTGAGCTCAAGAGTTTGAGATCAACATAGCGAGACCTCGTCTGTCCAAAAAAATAAAAACATTAGCCAGGTTTGGTGGTGCGTACCTGTAGTCCCAGCTACTTGGCAGACTGAGGCAGAAGGATCCCCTGATTTCCCCAGGAAATCGAGGCTGTGTGAACCATATCTACCTGGGCAACAGAGTGAGAACCCGACTCAAAAAAAGAAAAGAAAAAAAAACCTCTGGTGTGTAACCAAACCAGCAACTTTTAAAATGTTCCCTCACATAACCGAGTTTAACATGTGGGTCCACCCTGGGCTGATCCTATTCTATCTGCCACAGCCCTGACGTCCCATGGCCCTGGTGTGACCTTAGCACGTGAGCTAGCTTTGTGGACTGCATGGCCATAACTCCCGCATCTCAGGCTGGTGACAACCACGTTCTCACGTTGAACACCAGCATTTGGCTGCACTCCTGCCATATGTCATCTCATCCCAGGTGATAGGCAGCCTCTGTCTGGAACATGCCACTCTCACGGGAAGGAAGACAAGGGCCAGTGGAAGCACAGTGACATGTGCTTGCCACACATTACTTGGCAGGATGAGTCCCTGCCACACCCAGAGTAGACAGGGTGGGACGTGTATTCCTCTCACAGGAAGTAACGGCAGGTGATGTTGTGGCATGTGTTTACAGAATGGGGAGGGAGTCGCTGAGCTGGTACTGTCACGTGCCACCTCTGGTGTGTGAGAGGAGAGGGGTTGGGTCTGTGGTTCCAGGGCTGGCTCAGGAGGGCCAGGTTTTCATGGCTTCCTTGGGTTGCTGCTTGGGGCCTCGGGCCCTTCCCTGGAGAGCTGCTTTTCCACTCCTCCCTCCCCCACTCTCCTGGGGTCTCTGAACATCACTGTTTTCCCTAC